AGTTTCACAATTCTGGAATGCTAAGTAGCATCTGATGTAGTAAGCACGTCAGAGTCAAGGAATCATGGTGAATGGGAACAAGAAATTTCAATGCAGTGTGATGAAGGCTGCCGACTCACCATCCCTTCTCTCAACCACACATTCCTTTACACATAGAACCCGTCCTCATGCTAGGACATCTGGAGAAGGTCTCTTAGTGCACATCTTACTCTGCCTGAGAATCACTGGCAATGGTAAGATGAAGGGGCTGCTATATGACCCATGAAGGTGCCTGAGGCAGAGGTGTCTAAGGAGATCCAACAAGTGAGGACATCAGGATGCCAGGCCAATATGTAGAGGCTGGGAACCCACCAGAATGCAGAGCAGGATGCCACAACTGGGAGCTGGATTCAGAGCATCAAGTTAGGAAGGAGTCCAGTTGCAGTGAGAATGGGGGTGGAACGTTTTCTGAACAGTTGCACCAGGAAACCACACGTGGGTGCAAACCAATATTCCTTCAAGCAGACTGATACTAATTATTTATCTTGTGTTTCAAGTGCCCAAAGAAGTACAATGAACAAAACAGGGCTACAGTGAACTCACTGAAGATCTTTCCATCCTCAAGAATAAAAGTAATAATGCAAAATGGGAATCCCAACCAGCCAGCACTAGGGGAGTTGGTGGGAAAGGCAGGCTCTCGAGAGTTGGATTGTGAAAGTTAAACGATGATTTTCAACCGGGAAACAGCTGGAGGCACGTCAGAGTCAAGGAATCACCGTGTACATGAACAAGGCATCTTGATGCGGCATGATGAAGCCCACTCACATTCCTCCTCTCATCCACACCATCATTTACACAGAGAACATGTCCCCACACTGGGACATCTGGAGAAGGTCCTCTAGGTCACATCTAACTCAGCCTGAGGAAGATTGGCCTCCATGAGATGAGGGAGTGCTAACTAGAGCCAGATGAGAGGAAGAAGTGAGAAAGGACCCCATCACAACTCTACAGTACATGGAGTCCACTAGCATTTACTCAGCACCTGCTTATTAAACACATTCATGGGATAGGGGTTGTACTGGATTCAGTGAGGGGGCAGAAAGCATGTTGATGAAGCCATTCTGGTTTCAAGGAACTCAATATATTTAAGGGGAAATAGAAACAATTTAGAGATTTCAAGGAGATGTTATATGATGCAGGTGAAGCTATGTAACACAGATCATCAGTCCCATGGTGAAAAAAGAAGGGCTTGTTGGTGTAGTTTCGAGGTGTCTTGGAAGGTGCCTGGCGGCTGGGTCCACCCACATGCACAAGAACTGAGACGTGGGCAACATGGGGGTGAGAGGGAGCCAGCACTCCAGCGAAGGCATGGGGCGTGCCTGGGGTGGGAGTGAAGGGGCAGAAGGAGGTTAGGGCTGGACTTCTCACAGAAATAAGGATCACAGAAAAGAAATTCCTGCCATGGGTTTGAGAACATGTCACAGAACAAATATCTGTATGATTTTTCTATCAACAGGAAAAAATCTGCAATTCATTATCACTCTTATTTCTTTTTGCTGATTTCAACATTTTTTTACCTTTTTATCAAGCCCAGTTGTAAAAACAAGCAATCAATTTGATTTGTTGGCGTTATACTTTTTGTGCAACAGAGAATGACAGAGGCAAAGCTCTTGGAAGAAAAACATCAGCCAGGCTGACCTCCCCTCAGCTTCCTTTATAAAGTATTCTATTCTATGTTAATTCTTCATACTGAGAACTGAAAGCTGGTATTAGAGCACAAATACTGCCTCTGGCATTGAAGATTTCAGAAAGTTACCATATGTTAATAGAAGGGAAGTTTGGGGTATTAAGTACTCTTTAATAAACTCAGTATTTAATTCATAATAAATGCAAGTAATTATAAAACCTTACACAATTGGGAAGCTATTCAGAAGCCAAGGATTGAGCACTTAGGATGTGGCAATGTTTCTCCATGACCACAGTGGAGTATTTGTGATAAGCAGAGTTTTTGACTGAATTTGGATGGCAGAGTGCAGAGTACACTTAAGCCTCTTTAAATTGGCTGTGCACCAATATGTTTGATGTTGAGAGTTAAAAAAATCCTTATAGAATGGTTTAAACAGTAAACAAGGACCTATTATTAAAGTGAAAAGAATTCCTTCTTGAATTTTTCATGGATTACCTCCAAGAAAGAGGAATGGCAGCTGGCCACTGGGGGGCGCCTACTTCACGGGTCTTATGGGGCCAAGTTTAGGAAGACCAAGTATCACAGCGTTTAGTCTTCCTGGGCACACCTGTAGACACCGTAGAGGCTTCTTGTGAGGATGAGGTAAGCATCAATTTATTTGTAGCCTTGAAATCTTCTCTTTGTGATACCACAGACTCGAAAAGAACTTCCTAGCACGTGGCTTGTGGGGGCCAGGGTCCCGGGAAGCTCCAGGGATGGGAGGCAGGTGGAGCTGTGGGTGTCATCTTGACAGCTTTCAAGGGCCCCAGGCTGGACACAGGAGGGAACAAGAGCTATGGCAGGGGCAGCAGGGAGTGGGATTCCAGCGAGGCTGAAAGGGGGCCCTCACATAGGAGCAAGGCTTTCCCACGCACGCAGCACAGCTGTTCCTGGGATATTTTTTTTTCTGCCTCCAGCTCTATGTTTATTTAATGTAAAAACTTAGACACTAGAAAGAAAAAAGTCCGCTTGATACCCTAAATGTACCACATGCCCTCATGTCCAAGACCAGATTCTCTGGAATAGAAATAACAAATATGGCTAGTTAGGCACGATGATCTGAACTGACTTCATTTAGAACCAGGTTGGGATTTCCAGTGGAACCACCAATGATGGTTCCTATTTTGAAAACCTGAGAAATGGGCTTCAGGAGATTTACGGGGGCAAGGAAAAGAGCAAGGGAGCCTGTGCACCTTTCCACCCAAGGGATGATTCTGGGAACAGAAAACCAGGCTTCTTTCTACAATAAGCATTTTCAAATGTTGCCAAAGAGTCTCATCAGGTCCTTTCAGAGTGGATTAATATTAACCAAGGGCGCTCCTTTCTCTATATAACCCACGATGTCTTCAGGGGGTTTCAGAGAATCGAGATGCTATGTGTGCATTTGGGTAAAGCAGAAACCACAGTCCCGTTTTTGGAAGAGCTTTCAATGCAATTTGAAACATTGAAATTATCATACAGTAAAGAAAATCCACACAAGTTTGCAAAGGTATAAGGCACAGAAGGCAAAGTGCTTACTGTGGAAAGGCAGAGACAGCCTTTGGAATCTTAACCAGCCTTGGCCAAAGGCTTTCAGCACATCAGACTGGAATGCAACGGGCAGCTTGTGGGCTTTTGAAGGGAAGACGAGGATTCTAAGAGGCCACTATCACGCTGTCCCAATGTTGTTGCTAGCAGTGGTAGTGTGTTTTATGAAAAGCAAAATGACATTGTAATAAAGCCACAGTTGCACACTGTAAATCCAGGCAGAATGAGAAAAAATTCTTTCATAGAAGCCAGAGTAGCCCTGAGAGGTAGCAGACAGACCACAATCCTCAGGAGGCTTCCTTGGCGGTGTCATCTAAATGAGCTTGTCACAGTCTAACCAGCAGAAGAAATCATGATTTGGACAATGTGAAAATATCTTCACTACAGTCTATAATTGCAGAACTCATATAAAATGTATCCATTGAAAAATATTTGAAAGAACATTTCTATGTATTTTTTATAATAGGTTATTATCACGTTAAAATTTTTATTTAACAAAATGTCTGGAGCCTCTCTTAAGAGTGTGCCATGGTGGTTTCCTGTACCTATCAATCCACCATCTAGGTTTTAAGCCCCACACGCACTTCTTCTGGGATGTGATAAGTATGTCCAATGTCTATGTCTTATGAATTTTTGAAAATTATATGTATTTCTTATGCTGGTAACAAAGTATTTCTCTGAATATAACTATTGAAGGAGACTTATGAGTTAGTCAAACCCCTAATAGCCTGGCTTACTTGATCTGTCAACGTTAGAATATATTAACATTTCCAACTAGGACTGTAGGTTTGTCAATGTATTTGAACATTTTAATACTTCCTGCTTTATTTATTTAAAGAGATTCTAGAGTGCTTCTCTGTTGAGAAGCTCAGAGTGGCCTCGTCCCAGCTCCTCTCCGTTGAATGAAAGGAAACAGTGGCTTATCTTCCCAGCCTTCTCTTCCATTGTTTGCTTCCTTAGGACGCTGTCATAGAGCCATGGCCAGCTAGCAACATTGCTTTATACTTTCAAATTTAGATTTCATCTGTATATCCAGAGCTAGCATATAAATCATAAGAGTTTACACTGATTGGCTTAAATTAATAAAATATATTTTAACATATGTTTTCTTCAAATACTCCAACATTTTATAGCTTGAAAGTGGATGTAACAATGTATTAGGTTTACTTTAAAAAAAATTTTTACTTTAAGTTCTGGAATACATGTGCTGAACCTGCAGGTTTGTTACATAGGTATACATGTGCAATGTGGTTTGCTGCACCCATCAACCCATCATCTAGGCTTTAAGCCCTGCATGCATTAAGTATTTGTCCTAATGCTCTCCCTCCGCTTTTCCACCCCCCGACAGGCCCTGGTGTGGGATGTTCCCTTCCCTGTGTCCATGTGTTCTCACTGTTCAACTCCCACTTATAGAGTGAGAACATGCAGTGTTTGGTTTTCTGTATTATATTTGCATATGCTGCTATAGATACTCTGAAAACTTAGAGGAAATAATAAAATATATTGACAGAACCAAATAAGCAAGAATGCAATCTTATAATGTGACATCAAACGTTTCAAATCATCTTAGTATTCGTGTGTTGGTTGTGCATGAGCTGCCCAGTCTATATTTCTGGCTATAGATCTGAAGGGTACATGTTTCCTTAACTGGAATCTGGAGTTCTTGAAGTGGTAAAGCAATAAGCTCCTTGTTTCTGAGTTTTAGGCAAGAAGTCAGCTTTCATGAAATAGCATACTTTTCAAAGAAGCGCCACATTTGAATACCTACCAGAAGCTGTCCAGCAAAGCAGACGAAGAGGATGAAGGCCAGCAAGAGAAACGCAGTCCCAAAGGAGATGCCCAGGGTGGATGTTCTACCAGGAAACAAAAAGCAACACGTCAGGGTGGAGATCAAGTCTATCATTCTGGAAAGCTATCAGTAATACTTTTGGGTTATTTAGGATTTCATTAAGTGAGGACTGCAATCCTCACTAAATTTCTGAGAAACAAAAATGGAGCAAAAATACCAAACACATGTCCGTAGAATGAAATCTATAGAGGGATGGCCAGTTCAACTTATTATGACACAATAAAACTACCCCTGTAAGCATCAGCTCTTCGTGAAGGATAAACAATGTTTTTAAATGACTCGCCCATGTGCCTGGCAGTTTCATGCCACACTTGGCCACATCCTCCATCTCTGTGGTCTCCTCACTGCCAGGGAGATCCTGGCAGCTGCTGCCTTCAAGACAGCCTCACCTTAATAGCCTGGAAGTCTTCGAGCTCCACCCTTGCTCCTGTTGACCCAGGAGACACTGAGACCTCACCCTCCCCAGTCTCATGCAACCAGATTCAACCTATTTAGTTCAAATGTGTAGTGAGGCTTTTTACATGCTTGAGCGGGCCAATGAACTCAAAAGCATCCCATGATCACGTGAAAAACACGCCTAGCAAGTTGCAAATTCTGCTACGGACAGATGACAGGTTTATTTATAAGAACTGCATAAATATCCGGAAGGTCCCTTAAATAATTAAATAATTCAAAGCCTTTTAAATCTTAGTTTAATCCAAGGATAGAAGATTCAGAGATATAAAAAGGACTGAAACACAGTGAATCATCAAAGATGAAATGCAAATGGACCATTGAGGGAGAGGCTGGATGGTATCTGAGACCAAATGGGCCCTCATGCCAATGCAGTTGGCTAGAGACAGTGAAGGAATAGAGGATTTGGCTAAGAAGAGGAGTAACATCCAGAAACGATGACGTATGGGGCGGAAGACCTGGACACAAGTCAGCCACAAGCTGATATTACCCTGCGAGTGCACCCCTGGGAGTCCCCAGGAAAGGGAAACAAATTGAGCAGTTAGTGTCGTGAGTAAATTCCCTGATGCTGTCATGATGAGGCATCCTCAACTCTCTATCTCAGACACCTGCTCCATTAAGAGAGATGACTACAGCGACACACATCAAACAACATCTAAAAAACAAGTTCAAACCAACAATTGGAACTGACCCAATCAACGACTTTCAGGCACTGAGTCATGTCCTGGACATGATTTACAGTGCTTTCAATCACCTGGCCTGATGATAAGGTTTGTTCAGATTTTATGAGTGATGATGAAACTCTGCAGGATGGTGTGTATACACCAAGTACACCTGGATTGTTGACGAGTCTCATGGGCCGGGTTCATGCTGGGGTGTTCTCACACAAAGATGGGTAAGATGTGATCCTGCAGCAGCAGGAGGAGTGCCAGTCCACACCTCAGAGCTGTGAAGGGCGCCTGCCATTATCCTCATGACTAAAGGGGACCTCAGTGATTCATCTGCTGAGCTTTTATTTGCTATCTTCTCCTTCTCCTCTGTTTTTACGAAAGAGCTCTGACAGGGTTTTTTTTTTTTTTTTTTTTTTGAGCAGTATTCTCTCCTAGCTTTTCTTGGTATCAAGGTAATGCCAGATTCATAAGGCTGAGTTTAGAAACAACATTTCATTTTTTTTTTACACCCAAAACGGTTTAAATACTGAATGAATGATATCTTCTTGAAGGTTTGATAAAACTCAACTGTAATATTATCTGATGATGATGATGATGATGATGATGATGATAATGGGTGATCCGGTGATGGTGACAGGGATGGTGATGGTGATGGTGATGATGATGATGGTGACGGGGATGGTGATGGTGGTGTTGGTGATGCTACATCCTAACATCTATAGAGTATCCACTATATGCCAAGTACTGGGTATGTATGTACATATATATTTCACTTTATCTTCACAATAATCCTATATAGTAGTTACTATTATTACTTCATTTTGCCAAAGAGAAACTGATACACCGGGAGGCTGAGGAACTTGCCTAAAGTTATAACTCTATTAAGTGATGCTGTCAGGACTTATGTTTACCCAATTGTATTCCTGATCCAGGTTCTGTTTTAGAAATAGACATGTCACATTTCTGTTATGTTTATTTGTTCTGTTTCTTGAGTCAATTTTGATAATTTTCTAGAAAATTGTCTATTTCATGTAGATTTTCAAATGTAAAATATTCTATATAATATTTTCATGTAATTTAAAAACTCCTCATATTTGTAATTTCTTATGTTTAATGCTATTTTCTCTAGATCAGGTTTTTGAGGTCTTGCATGTTTTGTTGATCTTCTTAAGGAATAAGTTCTTGGTTTATTATTAAGGTCTGCTCTTTCCATTTGTTCTCTGTGTTAATTAGTTTCTGATTCAACTTTAAAAAAATGCTTTCTTCTTCCTTATTTAAACTTATACATTTTATCTTGATTGCCATTTATTAGAAAAATCTTTTGTATTTTCTAATAAGTGCATTTAAGGACACAAATACTCTACTAGTTATTGCTTTTGCCAAATCCCACAGCCTTAATTCATAGCTACTCATTATCACTCTTTTCTAAAAGCCTATAATTTCAATTTCCATTTTCTTTTAATATTAAAAGTAACTGAGAAGTCTGAATTTTAAATTCCACAAGAATATTATTTTTGGTTGGTTCTTATTATTTCTAATTTCATTAGAATTTATCAGAGATTGTGGCCTCTATTATTATACTTTGACAATTTATTTTTCTTTTGGGATGTGATAAGTATGCTCAGTCTACGTCTTATGAATTTTTAAAAATTATACATATTTCTTATGCTGGTAACAAAGTGTTTCTCTAAATATAACTATGGAAGGAGTCTTATGAGTTAGTCAAATCCCTAATGGGCTGGCTTACTTGATCTGTCAATGTTAGAATATATTAACATTTCCAACTAGGACTGTAGGTTTGTCAATGTATTTGAACATTTTAAGACTTTCTGCTTTATTTATTTCAAATAGATTCTGGAGTGCATAAAAATTTGTGATTGTTAAATTTTTGGTGCCTGAATCGTAATAAAAATATATTTTTTTAATGCTGAATACCTTTCACTTGAATTCTTTATTTTCAGGAATTTATATTATTGACATTTCTCTTATTCTATAAGCTATTTCCTGGAATAGCGATTCTATATCCTGTATTTCCAACCTTTCTCTTTTTATTTCAGCTACATCTTCCTTACATGGCATAGATGTGGCCTTTGGTTTGTAGCCTCGATCTTTTAGTCTCTTTCCATGAATGAGACACTTTTATCCATTCAAAAATATAAAATGTATTAAATATTTGACCAGTTCTTTCCATCTTATTTTCTTAAAATTGTGGGTAGAATTCACACAGAAATAATCCATGTATGAATCTTCCTTTGTCAGAAGAATTTTTAAAACAAATTCAATAAATGTAATAGATACATGCCCAGTTAAAATTTCTATTATGTCTCAGTTTTTGGAAAACTGTCTTTTCAAAAAATTCTTTCATTTTATCTAAATTGTAAATCTGTTTGACCTCAAGTAATTTATGGAATTTCCTATATATCCTATTAGTATTTATAGATTTTTAGTGAGTCCTCTTTTTTCTCTTAAGTTGCTAGTTTGGGTGCTTTGTGATTTTTTCCCATTTTTCGTTCTTGATCAGTCTTGCTAGTAGTTTAGGACTCCTTAAAGTCTTTTTCAAAGAGCCACATTTTGGCTTTGTAAATTTTCACTACTGATAGTTTTCTATTTTATTGATTTCTTCTTTTTCGTATTTATTCCCTTCTAATTGCTTGATTTTAAATTCTTCATCTTTTTCTGCTTCCTAAGATGGAAATTTGGACAACTGATTTTTAACTCTTTCCTCTGTTCTAATGTTAAAGCTACAAATTCCCCTTTAAATTGCTGCTTTAATTACATCTCACACATTTTGATACATTATATTTTGATATTAAAACATTTTTACATTTCTCTTGTATTTCTTATTTTACTCCTGGGTTAGTCAGAAGCATATAGTTTAACACCAAAATATTAGAGGATATTTTAAAATATTCTATTGTTAATGATTTTTAATTTGATTTTAGTGTGGTTAGATACTGGACTATATGATTTTTTTAATGTTTTCATATTTATTTCTGTCTTTTCAAATTTATGGAGTTGCTTTTATGGCCTAGTATAAGTTTCATCTTTGTAGGTTAATGTTTCATGTGCGCTTTAAGTAAAACATGTATTTTTCAATTCAGTTTAGTGTTTTTTGAAACAACAATTAGTTTTAGGAAGTTGATAATGTTGTTCAGACCTTCTATGTATTCCTATTGACATAATAAGAACTAGAAGAGGGACACTAAAATCTAATTATAATATAGATTTGTCTCATTCTTTCTTTGGTTTTCTCAGGTATGCGTTCCTAAGAAGCTTTTTACGGTCTACTGTAGGTTAAGTGTGTTCATATCTGTATTTTATAGCTCTGTTATTAGATATGAGCACATTTTATGATTTTATGCCTCCTGGTGAATTGACCTTTTTATCATTACTCACTATCTTTATTTATCTCTGTTAATATTTCTTGGCTTCATAACTACTTTGTCTGATATTAATATGTGTATAGTAGCTTCTCCTTGTGCTCACTGTTTACATCAGATATGTTTTCCATCCTTTTATTTTCAACCGACCTAAACTTTGTATTTTAAGTGCATCTTTTGTAGAGAGTATGTGGCTTGGTCATACTTTCCTTTAGAGTGTTTAGTCTTTTCCCATTTAATAATGTTTGAATTTAATCTTACCCTCTTGCTATCTATCTATTGTTTATTTGCCCCATTGCTTTTATTTGTATAATGTGGGTTGTTATATTTGTTGCTACTATTTCAAACCTACCATTTTATTATCTGTTTTATGTTTGTCTCATTTATTTTTGTTTTTCTGTTCTTCCATTATTGCCACTTTATTAATTAAATGTTTAAAAATATTTTTCATTTCCTCTTGGTTTTTTAGCAATATTTCTTTTATTTTTAGTAATTGCTCA